CCATTCTCTGTAAAGATTAGTTGATTGAAATTTGTGGGCATGAAGCCATTTTTGTGAATTTCTTTGAAGAGTTGTTGAAATTTGAGGGCACGAAGCCATTCTCTAAATAGATTAGTTGATTGAAATTTGCGGGCACGAAGCTATTTCTGTGAATTTCTTTGAAGAGTTGTTGAAATTTGAGTGCACAAAGCCATTTTTGTGAATTTCTATGAAGATTAGTTCAATTTCTGTGGACATTGTTAGTTGAAATTTGAAGCATTTCTTGATAATCTGTGATTCTTGAAGTATTGAGAAGATATTAGTTTCTTGATAAAACTATAAATCCTGCAAATAGCAATGGCATTTTCTTTTGTCAAAATTGAAGGGCTTTTGGGAATGTTGACAATTAAGTTGAATGACAAGAATTCTTCGAAATGAGTCTTCTAGTTCAAATCTATTCTAAAAGGATATAAGTTGTTTGATCATTTTGATGGGTCGACTAAGTGTCCAGCAAAATTTGTGATTAGCACTTATCGTGGTGTTACAAATGAAATTTTTGATGAGTATAAATAATGGGAAGCTGTTGATCTTGCTATCTTGAGTTTGTTGATTGATACGTTATTTGATGAGTCGATTGAGCATGTTGAGCATGTTTTGGGATCTAGGACTGCTCATGAGGCTTGGACTATTCAAGATAGGTATGCTTCCATTTCTAAAGCAAGGGTGAATACACTAAAGACTGAGTTTCAGACTATATATGCAAAAGCATGGTGACTCTATAGATCAATATTTGTCTAAGCTTAGAAGTATTAAAGAATAGTTAATTACTGCGGGAGAATTTGTGACTGATAATGATTTCATTGTTGCTGCTCTGTCTGGTTTACCAAGGGAATATTCTGTGATTAGAACAGTGATCTTTACAAGAGACACTACTATGTCCTTAAGGGAATTCAGAAAGCAGCTATTATGTGCAGAAAGGGAGGCTGAGTCTATGGTGAATGGCTTGTCTCAGAATTTTTTTGGAATATATGTGCAAGGGAATGTAGCCTTTGCTTCACAATTTACAAGGGCTCAGGGATCTTCAAGTAATTCTGATAAGGTTGCATATAGTACTGGAGGGATTCTTACACGGATTCTAAATGGAGTACCAATCTTTGAAGTGCCAAGTCAGGGAGAATAATCATCTAATCATGTTATGCATCCACCACCACCAATGTCATTTTTCTTCAAATCCTCAAACAGTGTATCCATCACCATTTCCTGGTAGTCAGTTCCCTATTGTGCAACATCAACCTCAATTGTACCCTGATTTCTCTAATGCATATGGTTTTGTTGGTAATGGTAACTTTAGATCATCAAACTATGGTGATAATAGTAGGAATTCATCTGGTGAAAGACATAATGGTGGAAATTGGCAATCATGGTTTGGAACACTGAAACTAGGCCAAATATTGTTCCTGAATGTCAGATATGTTCCAAGAAGGGGCATACTGCTCCAAATTGCCAGAAAAGGTCTACTAATCCGAGTTCAAGTGGATCAATTCTTGAATGTCAAATATGTGGCAAGTGAGGATATAGTGCATTAGATTGTCACCACATAAACAATTTTGCTTATCAAGGTTCTACACCTGCACCTACACTGATTGCTATGCAAGCTCAAGCTCCAGCCAACTTTCTTCCCAATGATTCTTGGATCATTGACACTGGACCATCACACCACATGACATCATACCTGAATTCTTTGCAGCAAGTTTCTACATATGAAGGCAATGACAAAATCACAATAGGCAATGGTGAAGGACAAGGTAACCAAGGCTGTAATATACCACGGAATGAGCAGTGATGGGAGAAGGTTCAAAGAAAAGACTTACAAGTGCAATATGTCTCCACAAAACATCAGATTGCAGATATTCTAACTAAAGGTTTACATGGTCCAACCTTCTTCAGACATTGCTGCAATCTCAGGCTTGGTAAACCTAGCTGAGATTGAGGGGGGATGATAAGTGTAGACATCAAATAGAGTGTGAGTGTGTGCCATGTCAGTAAATATAGTTGAGAATTGTTAGTAGTTAGCTGAGTTGTTAAAAGTTAGTTAGAGGTGAGCTGTCTAAGTGTAAAATGTTATATATGGCATATCTTGTAAACATTTACATTTTACGAAACGCAATCTAAAAAGTCACAGCCACTTCTTTCATTCGTCTCTCTCTCTCTCTCTCTCTGCAATTCTTCATACACAGCTCTTCATTTTCTTCATCTGATTCATAATAGTTAATACTAGCAAGTCAGCAATCGAAGCACCACAATCTCCATAAACAAAACCTTAAACAGATGCACCGACATTTATATGCTACATTGTAATTGTCTGCCATGGCTATGGCCATGAGATTGGTTCAAGTACTGGTCATATTAGTATTTTCCTTGGCCACCTTCAAAAGGCCAGTAATAGCAAGTGATCCTGACATTATTTCCGACTTTATAGTCCCACCAGATTACAACGGCACGATTGATGGGACATTCTTCACTTTCACTGGATTTGGCGGCATCTTCGATCAAGCTCCTCAAACCGTTAAGGCGTCAAAGGCAAGCATTGTTATGCAGTGCTTCAGTTTCCTCCTAACTCGCTATTACCACCTCACACCCACCCGGACGCAACTGGACTGTTGTTTCTTCTTGATGGTACCTTGGAAGTAGGGTTGATCGACACGAAAAACAATCTATATACTCAAAAGCTTCAAACTGGAGATCAGTTTGTTTTTCCCAAAGGCTTAGTCCATTACCTGTACAACTCGGATCCACAGTCGCCAGCCCCCGCCATTGCAGCATTCGGAAGTGCAAGTGCTAGAGCAGTTACAGTCCCGCCGTCTGTATTTGGCACGGGAATCGACGATGTGATCCTCGCCAAATCATTTAAGACAGATGTTGGTACCATTTAGAAGATCAAGACTGGCTTCAGTACCCACTAGCTCCTATATAACAAAGTGCGACTGAGCTTAATAATTTGCTTATTATAAAAACTTTTATTTGATAACTTTGTGTTTTGGATTTTGTTGATGTACGGTTTTCCCTGTAATTCTATCATTTTTTTTTTATTAAAGTACTTTTTTTTAATACATCGATATTTTTACATTAAGAGGAGGCGAAGTTCAGTTAAGTCACACAATGCGCAACCTAATTTGGTATCGAACTCACCATCTACGAGATTCAAACCGAAAACCTCTCACTTTCAAGTAAAGAGAAATACCACCGGACTGTAGTACTGTACGGTCAATATTTCCCTCGTTTCTAGTAAGAAATGCTAAGGAGACATCATTTCACTGAGAAATGCTATGGTGACATCATTTCACTGTACAGTCATCATAATTAGAATTGTTCATTCTTATCAGCATTTAAAGATCATGTTAAGAAAAATTAAAAACACAAAAGTCCTTTTCTACTTTCATTTGGTTATATGGATCTTCATGACTATTCATTCTTTTTATCATTCATCTATATCTACAACCGTTCATTCTTATTTCGCGGAATGAGATTGTTGCAAATGTAACTGAACAGTGAAATGATAAGAAAAATTATTGTAATGATAAGAAATGATGTAGAAATGATAAGAAAAATATTATTGTAAGTTACAAGTTACAAGTGACATCATTTCACTGTACAGTCATCATAAGAAATGCTAAGTTGCATCTCATGTTGTTCCTGAAATTGAAGGTTCTAACACACGAATATGCCCTAATATTGCTCATTATTACTGTTAAGTTGAACTTAATTAAGAACCTGTCCAATATTGCAGCTAAGTACGTATCCATCCTAGTTCCAAAGCCGATTAATGTAGCATCTTTCTTCATGCACACACGTACTTGCTTGTCATTTTCCATGCAAAAATTCTCGTTTTCATACGCATGTACGTCCAAAAAACTTCAGACAATTAATTGACTAATTATTAATCAAAATATAGGGAGCATTTTTCCTCACCATCATAATTATGGTGTATGCTCACCATATACTTAATTATCTGCATCATGTCATTTCATCTAACTGTAGTTAACTTTTGCATTAGATTTTACATTTGAATTCTGAAAAGAAAAAAAAAATTTAACCAAAGTTAAACGAAAGGACACGTGACAAATAATTAAGGATGGTGAGCAAAAATGCATTTTGCTATATTTAGCCGTATACTGTATACAGCTCCGGTAAGCAATATCTATGCCGGCTTGTACGTGGCGGCTATCAGGCCAACTAAGAAGAAAACAGAAAAAATGACAACACAAGGACATAACAATACAGGCTGATTATTTAGCTCCTCAAAAGGCAACACAGGCAAGCGTCCAGTTTCCGATTCCCTTTAAGACAAGCGTGGTCGAGTTTCCTTTTCTTAACTACCGGAGTGTATCCAACGCAACGCTTCATTTTCCTCCAAACTCACTATTCCAACATCACACTAACCAACACAAAACAATCAATACACTACGGGCTCGTCTAGAAGTGCTTTTAAAATTACTGAAAGCTCTTTTAGAGAAAATGATTTTGAATTCCCAAAAACACTTGAAGTATTTCCTAGACACTAGTTATAGACTTCTTTCATGAAGCAGTTCAAGTGCTTTTCTTGTGTTTTTACTAAGGATTGGTTACAAAAACATTTTCACTAAAAGCGTTGTTAGTCATTTTAAAAGCATCTCCAAACAAGCCCTAAGAAGCTTGAAGCTGTAGAAAGTGTTCTGTTTCCTCTAAGGGATTTGATTCGAGTTGGTCCGCATAAAACAATGTTTACACTAAGAAGCGCTTTTCCATCTGAATTGAATAAAACAATCTGATTGTGCATTACTGACAGCGGATACGTGATCAAAATTATTGATAGAATTCCTACATTACCCAACCGAATTTTGGTACAACATCGATTCAGTCTGTCGAAACGTACATATATTAACTAGTTACTCTTTGTAGAAATCTGCAGCAGAACAGCGCTCTTGCTTGCGTTGAGCCTCATTCTTAATGTCTCTGCTATGAGACGAATTCATCTTCATGAACTGAAATCCCATAATATACCGATACTCACCAGTCCCAAGGCAGCGGGAGCAGTAACCGAGACCACTTCCACCGCAAGTCCTGCACCTGCAAGAGTGGTTGAAGCAGTTTATGGAAGCACATTCAGAACTGGGTAGAACTTGCAGTTTACAATGTATATGAAGTCTTGAAACGTCACCATTTTGGCCATTCTCCTTTGGGGAGCATTTTCATGTCAATAAAATTTGTCCTTCCTAGAAGATAGAAGATAACAGATTATTAGAGACAGAGAAAAGCAAAAATAGTATATAACGATAGAATTTGCAAACAAACATAGGAATCTACACATCTAGCCAAACATTATAAATAGACGAAACAAACCTCCAAACATAAATCTGTAACACAGCGAGAAAACTGGGGTAACAGGACTGGACTCGACAGACATCAGGATTTGACTCATCCGTTTTTCAATATAAAATGAATTCAGTATCAGAAGACTGGGGTTAAAATAACGAGTCTCTGGACAAAGCGTATATTTGTTTACTGTATGTTGGCAACCTAACTTCAGAGTATGGTTAACAAATTCGTTAAATAAGAATGTTTATGCGGCTTTCATATCAATTGAAGTTAGTTCGTTGTCCCCTGATATATGAGATCTTATTAAGTAAAACCATAAGTATATTTTTTTTTAATTGCTACAGATGATTGAAATCTTTATGTAAAGAAAACGATCTTATTGTATTCAAGGCTTAAACAAAGGAAAGTCAAGAACTAAGCAATAAACTAACATCGATTTCTTGACTTCAGGATTGAAAACTTCAGTGGCATATGCTGATGGTAAAACTTTTGAATCTCAACCATTCTCTCAAAAACCATCAGATTTCTGTGGGAAAATGATAAATCTAGAAACATCTCTTTAGTCGCTTTTGACTGCACTTCTGGTATAACTTCAATATTTCTGGCAGACTGAACTATATTTGTTGTATGCCTTAGAACTATGGGAAAACAGGCAAACATAAAAATTTAGAAAATAGTGTGCACATAAGATGGAAAGAAAGAGAGAGACCTCTTCCGCAACAGTCATGGCAATTGACCCTTCCACTCCCAGTGCAGACCTCACAAGGAGGATCCGGTTTCTTCCTTACTTCTCTGTGAACATTTGACTGCAACAAACAGCGCGTGATCCAAAAGTTAAACACACAAAGCATGAGAAACACATGCCACATATCCATCCCTTACACTTTAGCAAGAGCTAAACTCAATGTTTTGGAGATAATTGTGATACAATTTCTCGAAAAACCAAATGCCAATACAGGCACTTTAGTGTCTATGATTGGCAGAGTACAAATCACCACTATTTCAGCCCATGTTCCAGAATCCAATGACTTCCAAAACCATGGTTTTGGTTTAATGTCAGATAATGCACAAATTATCCAACTTATGCTCAAAGATTCATCCAATAATCAAAATATTATTATAGAACTATCCAACTAAGATAATAATAATCAACAAAAACACAGAAAAAACCCAGCAGAAATTCTGAAATTAATTTCAAAGCAAATATAATTTCACCCAACTAAAAATTTCAACTTTTGAAACAATCCCAATACAGAAAACCCCATTTGGGTTCTAGTGATTCAACATCTAAATATCAATTCTTGTCTTGGTTTACTTTTAATTGACTTCTCTTACTTAATTTCCACCATTTTCTCAGGAATCAAACAAGAGATATGAAGCACTTGCCTCTGCACGGACGACCCAAGAGGGCTTGGAGAGGGAGAGTCGGGGCCGCGGCTCTGGATTCCGCGGCGGAGGAAGAGGCGGAGGAGGAGCACCGTTTGATTTTGAGGCTTCGAATCGGACGGCTGGTAGTGAGCTCAGGCTTCTGACTGCCATCTATCACTGCCTTTCGAATCGGAAAAGCGGCCGTGTGGATAGTTCTTTCATTGTTTTCTTTTTCGAGAAAATTGCACAAATCGCAACTTAAATTTTTAAATTTTGGTTTATTTCCCACAAACTATTTTCTTACAAATAAAATTATCACTCAGAGTCTAACTCGTTGGACAATATTTAACCCCGTAAAACCGTCCACAACTTTGTTGAATTTGTTATGAATATTACTTGATGTGTGATCATGTAAATCTAGATAGATTTGGTTTCTAGATTACTTAATGTTCTAGTGATTCTTTTTGTATAGAATTGTATTTATTTGGAAGATAAGTTAATCTGCTCATGTTAGTTTGTTATAAATAAAGGCACTGGTATATGGAGAATTACACAATTCCTAAGTATCCTACAATATTTTCCACTCTATGTATTGCCGCACCTCTCACTCTCAGATTAAATAGGTCATAACACGTTATTAGCAGATTAAATAGGTAACACTTTATTAGTACGCTCCGACGTTGCACTACGAAATCTAATGAGGAATTTCTGATACATACCGGTTCGTATCTTATGAGGAATTTCTAATACATACCAGTTCATGATATCATCATGGCAATCCAAGCACAATCTTAATTGTCGATATTTTCTTGGCCTAATTGCACGAACCTTCATCATAATACATGAAGTCAATTTTAAGCTTTTCAAATTATAGATTCTGAATAAATTGTGTTTGCATTATATCCTGAATATTGTCATATTTTTGTAAATTGATATTATGAGAAAAGAACAAAAAAAGCTTTTTCAATAGAGCAATTCTACCCCTAAAGACTTTGCGCCAGCACCCAGCGCATTTATCCACTCAAGTGAACAGTAATAGACCTCAATGAATAGTAATAGGCCAAAGCATCTCCACCCCTAAAAAAAAAATAGGCTGGTCAATTTTATTAAAATATTATTATTTTTATTATAAAATAATAAAAATTAATTATTTTATTTTTAATTTTTTACTTAAAATTTTTTTTTGGGAAAAAAAAGTGGATCATTGATCTGTGATCAGACGGTTCAGTTTAAAAGTGAAATTCAAATTTTTTTTACCGTTGGAAATCCAACAGTCTAGAATAACTAGTCGTTAGAAATCCAACGGCAGAAATTGGGCCACGTCGCCCACCTGGGGGAGATGTTAGTGCGCCTGAGCTGCTGGGCCCCGCCTCTGATTTTGTTGTCTGTTACTCGCGCACACGCCATGCATCACGTGCAACAACACAAATGGCCTGGTCCCAAGGTCTATCAAAAATGGGCTGGTCTGGAAACCAGCTTGGGCTAGGTGCCAGGCAAACACGCAGGCTGGAGTGAATTGATAGGGTGCCAGCCTGGTTTTTTTTACTGGGTGCTAGGCTATTCCACCTCTGGTGGAACTGCTCTTAGGGTTTCAAACCCAACGAGCAGTGGCTAGAAGTCGTGTTGCCAAGCAACCCGAGCTGACCCTGTGAGCCGCCACTATGGAGCCTTGTTGTTCTAGACTCAAAACCAGACCCCACGACTTTATTTTTTGGCATCGCCACCACCATGCTCACCTATAGCTGAGGCTTGCCGTGAGAGCCACTGTCCTTGATAACCTATAGTCATCACTGCATCGAACTAAACCATTAAAATTTACCAATTTTGATTCTGATTCCGGTTTTAAAGTAGAACTGGACAAAATTGAACTGTATCCACCTTATACTCATCTAAAGGACAGAAAGGGAGAAAGGGGCAAGGGAGGGTTGTTGGTGGAGAATGTGGGAAGCATTCCTTTTGTGATTTTCAGACATATCAAATTAATTATATTGTTGTCACACTGTCTAACATGGATGGGTCTCCTATAGAATGGTATAGCCGACATCTTTAAAAGAGTTTGCCAGTACTGTGGTCATTTTTTTTATGCAAAGAAATTCATTAAAGCACGAAACCTCTAGTACAACTGTTTCTAATACAATTAAAATTAAAGATGGGAAGAGCAACATCAAGTAAACAGAAATCCCAAAAATGAGAATTCGAGAGGGAGAGACCAAGGTGAGCTAAGGCATCCGCAACAAAGTTTGCCTCCCTGAAAATGTGCTTCCAATCAATATGACTACAAAACCGAGCCAAGACATGAATATCATTGATGATAGAACTAACTCTCCAAGGAACTCCCCAATGACCCTGTGCAGCTTCAATGACGATCTTAGAGTCCCTTCCACCGATATTTTAGTGAAACCCTTGCACCTAGCACACTGAAGACCTGCAAACCCATCGCTTATGCAACCGAAATAATAGTGCCATCAAGATTTAGAGCCCTCGCCCTAATCACCTGTGAGTTACTATTTCGGAGCACAAATGCAGCAACGACACGGTTGTTTGAAACTAAGCCATCAAAATTGAGCTTAATCACATCGTGCTGGTCAAGAGGATGCCATTTAACAGAGGAAGAGATAGGCAAAGCATCCTTGGGATCACACTTCCCATTAGCCCTGAGAAAAGGTAAACAAGCATTACCGGCAATAAAAACACAATGTATGCGAACCGGGGCACACTACTGTGGTCATTTTTGTATCAAATTAATATTTACTTTTATAAAATAAGGATTAATTACTCCAATTTTCACTGAACTTGTAACTGTGTATCATTTTCATCTCTGATCCATGATTTTATTTTCCTATGTTCCTCATGCTCGCTCTCAAGTCTCAACTGATAGTTTGGTCAATTTCGTTAACTCATCCAATTTGATGTTAAGGAACCAAAACAAAGAATAAAATACAATTTATAAAAATTGTATTAATGACCACTTAGTACTATGGTCTAATAGTATTTTTTTTCACTTGTAAGTGAGAGGTCTTAAGTTTGATTCTAGCCAAAGACGAATTTGAACTATATTATTGTTAACCCATTGTGAGTCTAAGCCCATCCCTCTTTTGTACAAAAAAAAAAAAAAAAAAAAAATATTCTGTTAATGACTTGGGGATGTGTGCTAAAATTTAGTCATTTGTACTAATAGAATTTAAGGGTTTGTTATGTTTGGCGCCAATTAAAATAAAAAACTGTTTGATGACTTGGGATATAAGTCAAGTCCCAATCGTTTAAGCGTGGCCTATTGGGAATTATACATACAGACTACGGAGGCATCCTATCGGCGTCGAGATCGAGCAGCCATGGCTGCGGAGGACAAAGGAGTAGTAGATGGTGTCAAATCGTACCTTTGCGAACAAATTGCAAGCGTCATACATCGAGGGACCGAAAAGCTTCCCCGTATCAGTCGCCTCTATGCTGAAGCCCACATGCTCAACAATCAAGGTTCCATTTCTTTTTCAAGATTCCATTTCTTTGTCCGAGTTCTGTTTCTAATTCGCACAATCGATTTCTCTCTAGGGTAAATTTACTGGTCTGATTCTTGCTCTATAATCTTGTTTATCGACTGTGGTTCGATCCTTGTACTGATTTATGAGAACGTAGATATTGTTACTGAAATTTGGTAGGGAAAACGTAGATTAAAATCTGTTTTCGGTTAAATTATTCGAAAGCGTTTTGGGTTAACAGTTTGTTTCGACTTTCGAGCAAAACAATCATATACTTCATATGTACTTAAGAGAGCAAGAAACTTATATTGGTTCTATGCTTACCAACCACGCTGTTGGTCAATTCGCGTTTTTGCATGGTTGAAATGCATATGAAATTTGGGGATCCGGTGGTGGTCTTGGATTTTACCAAATATAGCTGATTGATGAGTTAAATTGTAAATTGAACAGTGAGATTTCTTAAGCAAGAACTCCGGCTGCAGGCGAAGCCTCCATCTTATGTTGGTGTGTTTATAAGATTAATCGAGAGGAACAAGGCTTTGGTTTTGGTAAGTAGTTGTACATTTTGTTCGTTGCAGATACTTCGGAAGTTATGCATACCAAATTCAGTACTTTTTTTTATAGTACCGACTTCTGTTTCTTTTCAATTTCCAGGTTCGCCAAAGAGGAAAATTTGTTCTTAATATTGATAGAAATATTGATGTCACAATGCTCAAACCATTAATGAAAGTTGCTCTCCATCCTGAGACCTACGCTCTGTAGATTTTCTGATATCAATTTTATTACTTCCAAAATCTCACTACATCCCAGGCCTTACGGGAAGGCTTTTATATATACACCATAACAACTTTACAGATTAAACTATCAGTTGACACACCTGCACACACATGCCGCATCACTATCTATACATCTTTACATATTAAATTACTAGGTAACAGCACACACACATGCAGCAGCACTATCTGCTGTCTTCTGCCATCACACATGGGAAAAGGCTTTAACAGTAACCAAGAAGCATGGGAAGCTGCTGTTCATGAGTCAGCAAATGCTTGTTGTGCTGTCTGTACAGAGAACGCATGGGAAGAGTTCGGACAGCACACATGCTGCTGTGCTGTCTGTACAGAGAACGCATGGCCTTCTGTCCTTCTTCCAATACGAGCTTGACTTCGTCTAACACGCTCTTCATGTAATACTGCCAAGAAAAGTTGATCCTCTTGTCAACGTTATGAAAGTTGAAAATGTTCCTGATTCTACTTATGAAATGATTGGTGGTCTAGATAAGCAAATCTAAGAAATAAAAAAGGTTTTATTTTGCACAACCCTATTGTCCGAACTTATATTTAGTGGCTGGTTGATTTTTTTTCTTGTTTAGCTTGGTTTCTGCGGTACTTCTTCTTCACATTCTTAGGCAATTCATATTGATCATCTTTCCAGGTCATTGAACTTCCACTTAAACATCCTGAATTGTTTGAGCGTCTTGGTATAGCAGAACCAAAGGTAGAACTATGTTGCCAAGTTATTTTTGTTCGTTCATTTGCTTAGTAGGCACCAACTGTTACGTTAGTGCCCTGAAACTCACTCTTTCATATATCAAGGCATCCTGCTTTATGGACCACCTGGTACTGGGAAAACAGTGGTGGCTCGGGCGGTGGCTCATCATACAGACTGTACTTTCATAAGGCTTTTTGGTTCCAGGTTAGTCCAAAAGTACATTGGGCAAGGTGCTATGATGGTTAAAGTACTTTTTCTCATGGCTAGGTTGGTTTTCATCTCATTTTATAAGGACTATTCTAGATTCCATGATTCCCTGTCTCAACATGTTGCATTTGCTATCTCCTTGTATATTTCCGTTGCTCCATTTCTCGAATTTTACATATGCTCAGGTTTGATGGTGAGACTCTAATTCGTGGAGTGAAAGTCTGAGCTAGAATAAGCTTTCGTGCAATTGTGATGTTGGGTATCAAT